CAGCTGCAGCTTGTTATTTGTAATTCTATTTTCTATCAAGTTTTAAATGTTTATGTCAGACGGCAAGGACATATTAGGTTGATATGGCAACTGTGTCAAAACATAATTCTTGACAAAGCTTCTGACTTTACTTAATGCATATGATTTTCCCTAAGTCCGGAATTGCAAATAAGCTACTTAGAGTATGCAATAATGTCCCAATTACGATTGAGTTCAGAACTTATAATTGAGTTCGGAAACGACGCAGGCGCTGTAATATTGTGTGGAAGTTGAAGGAGAATTTGTCCGCCAGCGCAAAGCATATTGGTCTGCATTTCCAAAGTAGATACCCCATTTCTCACGCCCTCAAGTGAAGCGGGATATATTATCGTGGTATTACTTAGTTTTTACTTCAGTCTCAACGCTTTAGTACTTGGCAGTGCGCGCTGTCACTACCGCAACACAGGCAGCAGCTATGGACACCGTACTGTCAGCGGCAGTCTGCATTTCAGTCCTCTTAATGGCTGTACCTGTCAGTGGAAGTAAGTACACACACACACACACACACATATAGCTTCGTTTCTGTGTCAAATATTAATGTTTTCGAAAAAAGGGATACCTTGAGGAGATAGAAAGGCCGACGTACTGTGCCAAAAGCGAGAATAACGTTCTATGGGTATAATCCGAGCTATTAGCCTGGGTACCATCCTGGTTAGTTTACGTCCGCTCCCACAGTCGCTACTGTGGGAGCGGACGTAAACTAACCAGGATGGTACCCAGGCTACCGAGCTATCCCCATACCAAATTTTACAGTTAATCTGGTTGTACACGTAATAGAGCTCCAAAGCACGAACTATGCATTGTTTGTCTGAAAATGACCGAAATACCCAAATAAAAGAATTCTAAAATATGAAAAATGAATGAAAAGTAAATTTAAAACAGGGGCATTTTCCAACTTCGAATCTCTATGCCAACTTTCAGGCCACTTGGCTGAAAAACGAGTTGAATCAATTCCACAGAATGACGGGAGGAGAAGACTCGGAAAAACAAGGAGAAGAAAAAGAAACAAGAAAGCAATATTTATTTGATACATACCTTTCCAATTGAGTGAAATATAAACATTATATCCATACCTATGGTATGCTCCTCAGCTTTAAAAAATTGTGATCATTTTTTTTCAGCGACATATGCATGCCCTGACGAGTATCATCAGTATCGGCAAGTGTGCTACAAACTATTCCTCACGCCCCAAACGTTCCCCAACTCGTCCGCGGCTTGTCAGGCTGACAGAGGCACCCTCGCCATGCCCCGTGACGCCGCTATCAACAGGTTCCTCCTCGTCCTTATCAACAAGCATCAACCAAGCAAAGTCTGGTTCGGCTTACATGACCAGGACAATGAAGGTCAGTGAACGCCGCCGACGCCTTAAAACACGCCTTTTACTTCACGAGTTCTCCTGCTTTCCGTTCAAAAGTAACTTGAAATTACGTGCCTCATTGAAAATTTCTTCACTGCAAGCAGTAACCGTTTCGGACCCTCTTGATTTACAACATTTAGCACACTGCTCTTGAGTCCTTCCTGCAATGTCATTTAATACACCTTTTACTTCACGGGTCCTCTTGCTTTTCGTTCAAAATTAAGTGTGAAACTTAGTTACGTGTCTCACTGTAGATTTCATTACTACAGGTAACCGTTTCAGACCCCCTGATCTACAACATTTAGCACATTGCCCTTCCTGCAATGTCATGGGGGTAGGGGTGGGAGCAGCGCTTAATAAGTTGTAATGAATAAGTTGTCCCCAATATGCCTGATTTGTATTTGTTTGTTTTGTGTACATTTATCTGTTATTTTTATGACGTACTACATGGTGTATACAATGTATCTTTGTTAATCAAGGTTGATAATTATTTTTGGTCGATGGCCGTGCTTATATAAGTGGCATTAACTTGAGTGCGCCGCCATCGCTGTCTTGTGTTTCCATTCATATTCTTTATTGATGATAAAAAAAAGGTCAATGGACGTGGGTAGACGGTACCGCGCTGGGCACTTACAGCGGGTGGGCACCGGGTCAGCCGGACAACTTTTACGGCGGGCAACACTGCGCGTATTACTGGGGGTCCAGGGACTACCGGTGGGATGATGGGGAGTGTGACAAGTATCGCTTCGCCTTCATCTGCCAAGTCCCCTTATCAGGTTAGTATTTCAAGCAGATAGTACTATCACACGCCCAATTTCAAGTCATTTGAGGCAAGGGAAATGAGGAATGGATTTTGTTTACATTTGTGTAAGGTAATGTAATGAGCTTCCCTGCTGGGTTGAATCATAGCCATCTTGATAAAGGTAAGATAACGGTATGCAAGACATTTTTGTGGCAGATATAAATGTATTACCATAGTAGATTTTTCTTAAATTCTAGCTTTATCTCAGTCAACTACTGAGATACTGACGACGCCGAGACTGGAAACATCTCCAACCAGCACCACAGTCCGTACTACACAGGCCACATCCACACAGTCACAGGTGTCTTCCACTCCCCGGCTGACACAACTGTCAACTCTTCCAGGAACAACTGTTTCTCAACACCCCACTACCCAGACGGCACAACAGTCACCTCTTCCAGGAACAACTACTGTTTCTCAGCACACCTCTACGGACCAGACGGTACAACTGTCAACTCTTCCAGGAACAACTGTTTCTCAGAGCCCCACTAACCAGACGACAAAACTTGCAGGTACGGGTACACTATCTTCGTCATTTGATTGCTTCATTTGCTGGTAACATTGCACCACGCGCTCTAGTAAGTTCATTAATGGTCTGTAGCCTATTTCCCGTATCCAACAATTGTTGATATTATTTTAATATATGCAGGAGGTTCATGGAACAAAACCAAGCCGTGCGACATGTACATCGCCCTAGTTTGCGCAGCGGTTTGCGGGGGCTGTGCTGTGGGTTTAGTCAGTATGTGTGGCGTGCACGTGTTGCTGTTCTGTGGCAAGAGACGCCAAAAAAGACAAGTGGCCCAACATCCGCAGGACTTAGATGAATAAGACCCAGTTCTACCACAAGGCAAATCCGATGAGTGTTCGAGCTACGTGAGCAAAACAAGCAGAACATTTAATTACTCCGTGAAGGAGGTATCCCTTCTGCAGGAGTATTGCGTTCGCATCTAAAACACAGGGTACGTTCCCCTTGTTTAATCGGCATGTAATTTCATACGTCGTCTGCAGGCATGCCTGTGATGATGCACGTGTTTTTATTCTCGTGTCAAATGTAATATTTCAGATGCACCCCTACATTTCTGAGGCACATTGGGCCAACCCGTTGTTTTGAACCACGGGGCGCCTTGTTTCCTTCAGGCAGACGTTGGGGTGGGTCGGTGATTAGAATCAGCCGTGCCTCCCGTTGTTTATGTATCGGGGCTGATGTTAAATGTGTTCGCAGCTAAAAATATGGTTGTGTCCGTTGTATTTCTCTGTAATTGGGCAAGTGGTGTGTTAGCATGTCTGTGATGATGTACGTGCCACCGTAGCAGTTTTTATAATGAGGTAAATTCATATTTCAGAAACACCCCTATTTCTAAAACCCTGTGGAATAGGGCCGTATCTTAAGTAGATGTGTGGTAGACGAGGTTTTGTAAGCAGATATTAGGTGGTTGTTGTGTATAATCGTTTGCGAGTATCTGTTTGGATTGTGACTTTGTTTTTAAGCTGTGATTGTGACTGGTTTGTACCTACTACGATACATTCTCAAATAAATAATATGTAGTAAATGAAAGATATTGTTATGAAAGATGACTTTGTTCATCCGTTTAGATTGTCGTGTTGTTGATCATATGTATTTGCAAAATATAAAACGTCACTGAGAATTGTCGCCTATGGACACTTGTTTTAGTTATGACTTGGTAGCATTCTTTACTTTTGGGTGGTGTACAAATAGTACTAGGCCTAGAGGTGCTTTTGCGTTGTATGGTAATTATTGAAGCTGTCACATTAAATTGTCTTTATTATTCAAATGAGAAATCTTTTGTAAGAAGAGCAAATTCCGTCCGCTATGTTCTTATTACGTTTGTTTTGTTTGTACAATTGGTTCTTCTGTGTTTTATGTTTCATTATCTGGACATGTCTGCATCCGTTGCTAGTCCTGATCGCCTAGTACAGGTCGTTGTTCTCTCAGTCTGCAATTTACAAAGTAAAATGTAGTTATCACGTAACCCACTTATAGGTTTGCGGTATCATTACTTATAACTCACCTATCCACCAAGCTAGAACATTACTCATCTTCCTTTGATGTAAGTAATGCACGAGTACCAAATAAACAACCATTTGAAAAAAAAGACTTCCATTATTATTTTTGAACAATTTTCATGGGCTTTAAGTCTTTAAACCTTTGAGGCTGACTAGATTGTTAGTAGTAATTCTATTTTCTATCGAGTTGTAAATGTTTGTGTAAGGTGGCAAGGTCATTCCAGGTTGACATGACAACTGTACGTTAAACATGGCTTCTGACTTTACTGACTACTAAATATGATCTTCGCAAGGTTCTGACGTAGCCAAGTGCAAATAAGGTACTTAGAGTATATAATGTCCCAATTACAAAGTATTCAAGGAACTACAATTGAGTATGGAAACCGCGCACGGGCTGTAATACTTGTGTGAAAGTTAGGGGAAATTTGTCCGCCAGCACAAAGCATGTTGGTGCCAATATTTACAAAACATGTACCGCGCTAGCCTTCTAGTGAAGCAGGGTATTATCGGTGTTACTCAAGGTTTTTTTTACTTCAGTCTCAACGCTTAATACTTAGTAGTACTTGCATGGCAGCGCGCGATCGCACTACCGCAACACAGGCAGCAGGTATGGAGACCGTACTGTCAGCGGCAGTCTACATTTCAATCCTCTTTATGACTGTACCTGTCAGTGAAAGTAAGTACTGTATAGCTTCATTTCTGTGTCAAATAGTTTTAAGGGATGCCTTGATCTGGAAAGACCGGTGTACTGTGGTGTGGCATACACCAAAAGCGAGAATGACGTTTTGTGGGTATACTAGTACATCCGAGCTAGCGCCATACCAATTTTCATTCTATCTGGTTGTACATGTAATACTATATAGGGCTCCAAAGCACAAAGTTCTAGTATACATGCATTGTTTGTCTGAAAATAAGGCCATGTTGATTTGATTATATGGATGGCATCCACGCACGCATGAATTTTCGGCCGTTTCAAACATACTGTAAATCGTACAAAACAGTTGCAAAATAATAAAATATATACCGTAAGTTGCAAAAAAATATCGAAAAATGATACCAATGTCCTAGAATGTCAAAATCAAACGAGAAAGACGAAAATGTTGGCACAAGCCGAATTCTGTTTCCTTGTGGGTTTTTTTCCAGCGACATGCCCTTACGGGTATCATCAGTATCGCCGAGTGTGCTACAAAGTATTTCTCTCACCCCAAACGTTCACCTACGCGACCACGGGCTGTCAGCTTGACGGAGGCACCCTCGCCATTCCCCGTGACGCCGGTATCAACGCGTTCCTCCTCAACCTGATCGCCATGCACGCGCACCCCCCTAGTAGCTTCTGGTTCGGCTTACATGACCGGGACTATGAGGGGCAGTGGACGTGGGTAGACGGTACCGCACTGGGCGATGGTTACACTGCATGGATACCGGGCCAGCCAGACAACTCCCGCGACAGGCAAGACTGCGTTTATTACCGGGGGGACTGGAACTACCTGTGGGATGATAGGGAGTGTAACGCGGCTTACTTCTTCATCTGTCAAGTCTTCTCATCAGGTTAGTACTTCAAGCAGATCTACGTTAAGTTTTAGAAACAACCCTTAAAGTTCCACTGACGGGCATGTCGTAGGTTATATGCATAAACCAAATAGATTACATCCGTGTATGGAGCGTTTGTGTGTGTGTGTGTGTGTGTGTGTGTGTGTGTATGTGTGTGTGTGTGTGTGTGTGTGTGTGTGTGTGTGTGTGTGTGTGTGTGTGTGTGTGTGTGTGTGTGTGTGTGTGAAAATAAATGAATAATAAGGTAGTGTGGAGAAAACGTGTGATCGTGAATAGTAGTAGTCGATGTTTGGATGACACGACGTTTTTTTTAAATTCCAGGTTCACCTCCGCCAACTACTGAGATACCAACGACAACGAGACCTTAAACATCTCCAACCAGCACCACAGTCCGTACTACACAGGCCACATCCACACAGTCACAGGTGTCTTCCACTCCCCGGCTGACACAACAGTCAACTCTTCCAGGAACTGTTTCTCAACACCCCATTACCCAGACGGCACAACGGCCAACTCTTCCAGGAACGTCTGTTTCTCAACACTCCACTATCCAGACGACACGCCAGACAACTCTTCCAGGAACAACTGTTTCTCAGAGCCCCACTAACCAGACGACAAAACTAGCAGGTACGGGTACCCTATCTTCATCATTTGACGGCTTTATTTGCTTTTAAGGTTGTACCTGTTTTCATACACAGATTCTAGTAAGTTCGTCCATGGTTTGTAGCCCATTTTCCGTACCCAACAAATGTTAAAAGTATAAATCATGTCATTCTTATACAGGAGGTGCATGGGACGAAAACAAGCAACTCGACATCACCCTAGTTTCTGCGGGCTGTGCGGTGGGGTTAGTCGGTATGTGTGGCGTGTTGCTGTACTGTGTGAAGAGACGCCAAAGAAGAAGACAAGTGGCTCAAAATCTAGAGTCCCAGAGTTGAGATGGAAAAGAACCCGTGAAACCACAAGGCAAATGTGATCTAGAGTTTGTTTGAGCGACTTTAACAGAACAAGCAGAACATGTTACCTTTAGTCATGACTCAGTAGCATTCTTTACCTTTGGGTGGTTTGCAAATAACACTGGGTCTAGATGTGCTGTAATTATTGAAGCTGTTCACGCAAATAAATACAGCATTATATTGTCTACATTATACCAACGTAAATTCTTCGTAAAGAGTAAATTCCTTCCGTTGCTAATATTAAGTGAATGAGCTGATGCAAATTGTACTCAACGAATTAAATGTACATATGTTTGTTTTGAATTGTGTGTATTAATACCATTTGTCGTTAGAATGCCGTTTCTGAATAGTAATGATTCTCTGACTGTGTTAACTTGTGTTGCTAATGTCAGGTTTTGTTCTGTGTTCGAGCTGATTGTTTTACTCTGTTGGATAATTTGTATGATTTAGTGATTAACTTGTGTTTTGTATGTGCTTATGTTTCATTATGTTTGTATCCGTTGCTATGGCCCGTGGGTGGATAAAGGCAAATAAAGATAACTCACTTAATGTGTGAACTAGTCTTCAAACTCTTTGTGTCGTACAGCGTATTAATTGTAATTCTCTTCAATATCGAATTATGAATGTTTGTGTCACGTGAAAAGGGCATTCCAGGTTGTCATGACAACTGTACACTAAACATAATTCTTGACATAGTTTCTGGCACAACTGACGAAATATCATCTTCGCCAAGAGGGTCTGCATGGGGAGATCTTGGTAACGTTTAGTGATAAATTTAGCACAGCAGACAATGCTTAACTGTAAATTCATGCAGGCCAGCAAACGGTAAATAGAGTACTAGTAGTTCGTTTGTAAGGCTTGGAAAACGCTTCATTGGATTTATATTGTTCACTGGATGTCTCACAAGAAAGGAACTCTGTTATATATTGGGTGGGGGGCGCGGCAATCTGGCGTTCGACTACACGATACCAATAATTTTTCAGGACCGCTTAACGTTGAACTCAAGATAAGAAAAAAAAACGTGCTATGCAGAATCAAGGCTACAAATTACGCTTCCCTAAAAAATTTCCGACAACAATTAATGGTATAAACCGGCCGGCTACGATTAAAAGTGAATTCAAATGGCTCGCTACGCCTTAGGAAAAAGGCACGGCGACCCTCTGCTGCCAGGTCCGGACGTACTCAACTGCAAATAAGCTAATAGCCAGCTAGAATATCCAATATCCCAATTATAACGTAATTAAAAGGACTACGTACACAATGCTCACATCAAGTCATAATATTTATGTGGTACTTCAAAGCATGATTTTCTAAAAGCACTTAGGAATATGGTTTGACGTAAGATTCCTCCGGTCAACAACTATGCTTCATTTCTCACGTCTTCAAGTGAAGCAGGGTATTACTAATAGTATTAATCAGTTTTTATACTTAAGTGTACACTAAGTGTGCCTGCCCTCACTGTACAACTGGAACAAGTTGGAGCTATGGACACCACACTGTCAGCAGTCTGCGTTTTCATCCTCTTTTTGGCTGTACCTGCCAGTGGAAGTGAGTACATCATCATTTCTGTGTTAACATTTCGTTTAAGAAAATGTGTACCTTTAATTAACATACTAAATACGTGTACACAGTGTTGAAAAAAGACAGCAAGAAAAAAGGTTTTGGGGCATGACAGTCCCTATATAGCCTGGTCATGCGTTCTTTTGTACTACATGACACTTTCCATGACGAAACATAGTCCTAAAATTTACTTTGGAAAGCGTAAATACAAAACGTATGTATGTATCCCCCTAAAGTGCCCCATCAGGGGCTATATGGGGGTGTAGCCGGGGCTCACATAACATCTTTGAGCCCCGGCAAAGATGAAGAAAAAGATGAAGTATGTAATGTGGAGGTTAACGATATCGCAACGGTAGCATGCTATGATATTTCCTCAAATATCTTGACAGAAGCAATATTATAGCAACATTAAACTGACAAAATACATAGATTATGGGGACGTTGCGTTATTCTGTAAATACGTATACGATAAACGATGTGAAAAGAACTAAACGATAAAACGCAACGCCAATTCACAATTACTACCTCTATTGACCAAACATTTTATCTCAGGCCAATCTGCTCTCCGTACAGTACTCTTTAAACTTTTTTGCTTTTTTTCTAATTCTAGACATCCGTCTCCGAGGTGGCAGCGGCGTCCATGAGGGGAGAGTTGAGGTGTTTTACGACGGCCAATGGGGAACGATATGTGATGACGCCTGGGGCATTAATGACGCACATGTAGTTTGTCGTCAGCTGGGCTACCAGCGTGCACAGGAGGCGACACAAAGCGCCTCTTTCGGCCAAGGCACGGGTCCAATATGGCTGGATGACGTGGCCTGTGCCGGCGATGAGGCGGACATATCCCTCTGTAGACACCGGGGATGGGGCAGTCATAACTGCGGGCACCATGAGGATGCCGGAGTTGTCTGCCACGGTAGACCGGTCGGTAAGTAGACGGCTTAATTCTTTAGTCTCCTGTGCAGACATCTAGCGGGGCAGAGTTTGTTTCTACGTACCTGGGGATAGAGCGACGGTTTTTGGGGGGAGAGATGTTTAAAGGCGTAACTAGAAAGGGCGTGGCATAACTCTCTCCCTCGCAATAGAATGAAAGACCTTTATTGTACGTGTTTATGCTCTTACAAGCGAAGTGCAGTGAACCAAGGACATTATGTATAATGTTCTTGAGTGAACCTTCGCGTATCAGCATTCTCCCCTCCAAAATAAACGTCACCGCTCTAGGAAGTCTGCGAAAGAGGCTAATAACATTCTTCATTATATCGTTTGTGTTCAAATTTTGAGAGCCAAGTTCGGACCGTGATTGCAACAGAAAACAATATATAGAAAGGCCATAGAGAGCTCGAGTTTTAACAATGGAACAGTAGTAAAATAACAAGTGATGTGAATTGAGATCCATTGTTTTTCGAAATATACCGTACTAACAGTACATTCATAATTCATCCAGTCGCTTGATAAATTTTCTAATACTGACAACAACAGTAAACAAAGTCTTTATTAAGAACATGACAATTGGAGAATTAATTTTTGATATTAGATCCTGTTTTTTTTTGTCAATGTAGATCCATGCGCCGACTACGCTGTACTGGATGAGCCATGGAGGAACGTCCAACAAGTGAACGATGGTGACGCGTACGCGGATCGGTGTGATGACGGGTTTGCTGGAGAGTGGTACCGCTTCATGGAGCCAGCGGGGACCGCCATGCCCACAGAAGCACCCCCGAGCTCGTACCGATGCGGCACGGACGCCCCGATGTGGATGAACGGAGGGCACCCCACCCTTGCTGACGGTGAAGTCTCCCGCCAGGCATGTGGCTACTGGGTTGGTAACACCTGTCGTTTTCAAACAACCATCCAGGTGCGGGCCTGCAGCGCCGGCTACTTCGTGTACAAACTACCTGCACCTCCTGGGTGCTCAATGGTCTACTGCGGGGCGTCAGAAGGTGAGTGTGACGTATTTACAAGCTTTCAACCAGAGATATCCATATGATGCCGAGTAAATAAGACGGAAATTAGTACATTTCTTATATGTTGGAGCAAAGTTGAGCTTCACTGTGTGTTAAACTATAACAATCTTGGTTGCGTCAGTGTACGTCATTCGGTCGCAGCTATATTGTCATTGACACGTCGTTTTTTTTTTAAATTTTATTTCCAGCTTCAGCTCAGCAAACTACTGAGATACCCACGACAACATATCCAACCAGCACCACAGTCCGTACTACACAGGCCACATCCACACAGTCACAGGTGTCTTCCTCTCCCCGGCTGACACAACTGTCAACTCTTCCAGAAACAACCACTACAGACCAGACGACACATCAGTCAACTCTTCCAGGAACGACTGCTCCTGAACACCCCTGGCCCACTAACAACCAGACGGCACAATGGACAACTCTTCCAGGAACAACTGTTTCTGAACACCCCTGGCCCACTAACAACCAGACGGCACAATGGACAACTCTTCCAGGAACAACTGTTTCTGAGCACCCCACTAACCAGACGGCAACTCCCCCAGAAGCAACTGTTTCTGAACACCCCTGGCCAACTAACAACCAGACGGCACAATGGACAACTCTTCCAACAACTGTTTCTCAATACCCCACTAGTCAGACGACACAGCAGTCAACTCTTCCAGGAACAACTGTTTCTGAACACCCCACCGACCAGACGACAAGACTAGCAGGTATGGATGCACTATCTTCATTAAACACCTTATTTGCTGTTTTAAATATTATAAGTTGCACTTTTTTTCACACACACGTTGTAATGCGTTGATACATTGTAGCTCATAGTCTGTATCCAACAGTTGTTATATGTACAAATCATGTCATTCTGATACAGGGGGTTCATGGAACAAAACCAAGCCGCGCGACATCGTCATCGCCCTAGTTTCTGCGGGCTGTGCGGTGGGTTTAGTCGGTATGTGTGGCGTGTTGCTGTACTGTGTGAAGAGACGCCAAAAAAGACGGCAAGTGGCTCAACATCCGCAGGACTGAGATGAAGAAACCGTTCCACCAGGTACAAAGTAAAGCCTTGGTCACAACTCGCCGTACGTGCTTTTTCTGAAAACGTGGGGAAGGAGTGGCGTCGACACACGTCACTCGCACGGTTGCGCAAGGCGTAAGAGTGGGGTCTGCACGCCACGGCTGGCCGTGAGCGCTTGCGTGCATCGTACGTTGCGCAAGTGGTCAGTTGTACGTGCTTACAACGTAAGATGTCTGTGCGATTGCAACTTTACCGTAAGGAGGCCGTACTCACACGTGATTCTTCCGTACGGTACGTACGGGACACGCGCGTCGCTCGTACTCGCAAGGACGGGTGGTGAATCCGCAGACCGCACGCAGAAAAAGTTTTACATGCACTTTAAGTTCTACGACGTGTCTGCGTGCCCCCAAATCCGTAGGATTCCGTTCGGAGGCGGTACTCACCACGCACGGATGCCCTACGTTTGCCCACGTTTTTGCACGTAGACAGCACGCAGAAGCACGTACGGCGGGTTGTGACTAGGGCTTAAATGTGATCTAGTGTTTGACCACGTGAACAAAACAAGCAGAATATTTTATATTTCCAAGGCCATGTGTCACTGTGTGTGCAAGCGAGTTTTGAATTGTTTGTATTCATACCACCTGTGTGTACAATTTAATTTACGTTGTTGAATAGTACTAGTAATTCTCTTCACAGTGTTAACTTGTGTTAATAATGGCATGGATTTTGTTCTGTTTGTATTCATACCACCCCTGTGTACAATTACATTGTTGAATAGTAGTAGTTTTTAACTTGTTGACTTGTGTTGCTAATGAAATAGGTTTTGTTCTGTGTTTGACATGCTTATGTTTTGTTCTGTTTGATAATTTGTATATGTAAGATAAACAAGACAAGCAGAATATTTTAGTTTTAGTTATGACTCAGTAGCCTGCATATTATATGACATCCTTTACTTGTAAGTGGAGTAAAAATAGCAGGTCTAGATGTTCCTTTGCGCAGTATGGCTGTGGCGCTGTATGGTAATTCTTGAAGCTGTCCATGCAAATAATTTTACCATTGATTATACATTATACCAACGTCAACTTTTTTTGTGAAATCATTTAATTCCTTCCGCTGCCCTTAATTTGCTTTGTTTATGAGCTGATACAATGACTGTGTGTGTGTTTTAAAATATTTGTATTGATACCATCTCTTTGTACAATTATGTGGTTGATAATTAGAACATTTTGAAGTTACTGTACTGTGTCTGTGTTAACTTTCATACTAATGGTATGGGTTTTGTAATGTTTGAACTGGTTTTCAATGATTTAGTGATTAAATAAAAAGTGTTTTGTGTGTAATTTCTTCTTCTGTGTTTTATGTTTCCATTACATACATATACATTGTACTAATATATGTATTTGCTTCAAAATTCACAAAAGTACCAAAACATACGCCCTATGTTGTGTTGGCAGGTTTTCCCCTTGCTGCTACGATGGCTATATTTTCTAGTGACACGTCTGTCTCCACATAGCGGACCAGTTGTGTGTGGAAGTCTCCCTGCTGTAGGTACCACAGTCTGCCCTGGTCCAGCAGTCTCTTACACTGACGCCCTATCTCCTCTCTTTCTTCCACACTCCAGATGGCTGCTGCCCTGACGTGTCGCCAAAAAAAAGATTACTAGTGTTGGGAAACTTGATATCATCAATGATAATAAGTTGGTTCAGAGTTTAAACTGTGCGCAAGTGCAAATTAATCATTGTCTATAGACCATGTTTCATACATGACTACTAGATGTGTTTCAAAGTTTCAGAATAAATGCCATGACAAAGATGACAGAGGGTCATCAAAATGTCAGCTCTTGTTAAACAAGTTTGAAGTTAAAAAATTTCCAGTCAAGATTGCTACATCCGAAAATAATTTTATCAGGTTGGTAGGATATGTATTATGTTTCGATGCCTGTCAGACATCTTCCTCTGAGCTTCTGACTGGAGTACTGCTATAGGAGTGCCAACTACCTTGTCTACATATAGGCAAGAAGCTGTACTCCAGTCAGAATTCAGCTCTGAGGAAGGTGTCTGACAGGCATTGAAATGCAAGCAGGTGAAAAACACAACGGGTTGTGTAAGAAGAAAATCCCTTATATCCTAAGATTGTTATAAGCTACAATATTAAGTATCTACTAGTAACTACAACACCTACTTTGATTGTTCATACTTTTCCTCCTCTCCCTCTTCACCACTGTTCTCCTCCTCCTCTTCCTCTTCATTTCCTCCCTCGTTCTTGGTTTGACCTCTTGCGAACCCACATGTTGCCCAGCTTGACATGCTCCTCAGTGTGTAGAAGTCGTCTTCAGTGAAGCCTATGTTAGCAAAGAAGCCATTCCCCACATAACTTGCCCAGGTACACCGGTGATGACAGCACAGGGCTATCAGAATACCCTCCACTTGGCTGAATGAGACAACAAGAAATGGGATATATTTCAGTTGACTACAATTTTACACAGAGGTTTTATTTTTGGTGCTTCTGTCCATGGATGCTAAAAATTAAGGAAATTGATTTTTATCTTAAAGTTTACTATTTTTCCAACAGAATGTCCCTAACCAAAGTTATGTACATATTTTCACCTTAGTCTAGTAGTAAAGAAATTGGTGATAAGTGCCTTTTCCAAAGTCAAGACAAAACTGAGCAATGCGAAGTCAACAATCCTAACTACAAGGACACCATGCATTAATTCTAAAACCAATCAACGGTCGTCCTTAGATCACCTTTACAAGTTCATCTGAGTTGGTAAATTATATGATAAAAAGTTGGAGAGCAGTGTAATTTCAATATACATGTACTCTTCACCTTGTACTCTGAGCGTCTTCCTCCTTTAATCTCTTGGATGGAGGACTGGAGCTGCCATCTGTCCCTGATGTCAACAATACCTTTTGTTTACCATCCTCCCAGTCCTCCCTTTGTTCTTCTGTATCCCTGACGATGGTTGAAGTTGCACCATCTACTAACTGCCCTGCTGTTGTGCTGTTCCTTTGGGCTGTGCTTTCTGATGCTGAGTGTTCTCTTGAAGCTGATTCGCCCACTGAGGAACTAGGTGAAACATCTTTGGGGGCGTTTCTTGAACTTTTGCAGGGAAGGGTCTCTATAAGACATCTCAGGGTAAGATCTGGTGAAAGACAGAAGTAATATTTCAATGGAAGATCATCTTACTGCAAGGTAAGCTGTCCAACACATATTTGTGGTATATGCAATAATGATACTATATTAGAATTGTGTCATGTGCAAATAAATCTTGTGCTCTCTAAGTAGATGTACAGTCCAAGTGAGTTTTTTTACATAATCATAACTAATAACTTATGAAAAGATAGAAATAGGCATAGTCAAAAGCAACACTTACATGCTCAGGAACAATTATGACTATTTTGTGTGTGTGCAGTGAAATAATCCCAAATGAAGGGAAGAGAGAATAAGAAAAAGATAATTCAGAAAAGAGGGAATAAAGAACATTACCTGTGGCAGCCCCACATAGATGTTTACTGATAGCTGCTATTGGGCCCTTGTGTTCAGCCATACTGGGCACCAATCCTAACAGAGAAAACATTGAGAAAGCCACTTAACACCTTACTCACTTGACTGAGGTTAAAATGAGTACCTAGCTTCAGTTAGGGACGTCCTATCAGTTGAGATGTAAAGCCTAAGGTCTTGTCTTTTAAGACAGCCACACCCTGAACACATTAAAGAAGGGACCACCACCTTATCAACAAGGGTAGAGATCATTTCCATTGCAAGTTTTGCAGTCTAGTCTTACACATCTAGTACTTACTGTAGGTAAGTACTTTCTGTGAAAAAAATTGATGTTTTACACATAAAGGTAGTTTAATTAATGGTTATGTGAAACAACAGACAAAAACATGGGCACAGCCTTCTAACGTACCTAGGTTTAGGTCCTCAATATCAACCTTCAGTCTCTCAAAGTCTGGTCCTTTCTCACCTCGACGGACATTCTTATCAAACTAAGAAAAACAAAGACAAAAACACATTGTTTTGTGTTGTGGGAAATCTGTTAATACTTCTACATGCAACAATGGACCAGCACAAAGGAATTTTACAAAAACTTATAGAATCATTTGTACAATGAAGTTGTTTATTTTCTTTCTTTCTCACCTTGTGTTTGGTGTTGGCCCTGTCAATCAAAATAAAGTGGGAGGTGGCTTGTTCTGGGAGGCACATCTGTACATAATGTGACAGCCTTCCTATAATAACAAACAGCTTATTAGTAAACAGGAAATTGCTCAGACTTTTTTCAGACTTCTGAAAGTACTTTGAATTCCTCCACATAATGCTCACTTACTTCACCCTGGGGTTGATCTCCCTATTTATCAACTGTCAAAATCACATCCCACCCACCATGCAATCCTCACTACTAAGAACAAACAGACAGAAATACACATAAAGCAATACTTCCAATAACAGGGTCTACAAAACAAATACTATAGTAACTGGTATTGAATGGATGGCCCATGTACATGAAACTCGTGATCAGAAAAGTATAAATGTGACAGAGTCAGAAGTTCATAATACAGTACTGTAAATTCATCATTTTGCAGGGACTTTTTTTACACACAAGTTTGTAGTTGAAACAATTCTGCAGTACATAGTACGGTAGAAATACAAATTGCCATCATGATTTTGCTGTAAGAGGTCTTCAGAAAAATAAAACCACTGCAAACATTTTCTACAAAATCTTCTCACCTCTTCCTGCTCCAAACTCCACAAAGCAGACATCAGACTTTAACAGATCTAAGCGATCCAGGTGACCGATAAGGGAAGCCTGCAAAACAGAAATTGTTCATGTCAAGACTTCTTGTATCAGTGGCAAGTTTCTTTAATATATGAATGGTTTATTTTATAAATTACACACATCGTACAAAACATACAGTAGCAGCCGTTATCGGCTGAAATGATGTATGATTTACATTACATTGTTAAAAAGCTCCACTCAGGTTACGTAGTATTAGGCAAACAATCACAAGGTAAGGGACAACTGTTAAAATCAGCGCCTGCAGAAGTATTATGGTTGTAATACATGTATATGTAGTTCTGAGTGAAGATGAGTACAGGTGAACATACTTGTTGTTTGAGGTGTTTGAGTGCTGAGGCTCCATTGTCTGGATCTTCAAGCATCTCCTTCATGCCCTCATGAGTTAGCACTGCGACAGGTATGTCTGAAACACTACCTGGAAAAGAAAACATTTCCTATTCTAACCATCATGAGCAATGAAATCATAACATTTCACACGTTTTTGTGCTACACTGTGTTGATTTCACTGTGACACCACAAAATACAATATGAATGTGTGAAAAAATGACTACTGTTGAAGCATATTTAGATAATATGTATGAAAACAAAACTGTTTTAAAAGTTACCTTTGTAAGCAGTTTGTACTCTTTCAACAAATGTCAGCAGTTCTTCTTTGCTCATGGAATGATGACTAATCTAAAAAAACAATTAAAAAAATGTTATACAAACACAAGAGTTGTTACATGTAGACTGTCACCACCATGAAGAATAATGACAATGGTTTTTGAACAATTTTTAGTATGATCCAAACTTCTTAAAATTTGTGTCTGGTGCAGGTGATTTTTAATGTGACCTGGACAAGTGCAAGTATGCAGAAAAAAGTATTTCAAATCCTGGATTTGATGCTTTACTCTATACAATAACAATTAGATAATAACAGTTACAATTGTCCTCATAATTATTATGGCACCATACCTTTGTATCTTCTTCTTTGCTCTGTGAACAGGTGAGACCAGAGTTCACACCTTTCTGAAGGTACACCTGTAAAACATTGTTATTAATCATTAGCTATCCAACACTTCAATATCAAACAATATCTTTTCATTTGCTACAAGTTTGAGTTGTTGCTTGCTCACTTTCTTCCTACAGTTAGAGCTATGAACAACTGCCACAATTCATAGTGAACTCATAATATTGTTTGGTCATTATACTCTACAGTGTGCTTTACACATGACAATATGTGATTAACCATGGTTAAAAAGCTGAAGACATTACTGGAGGAGGTCCTTGTCTTGAGTTGCATTTCTTGAGGTGTCTCTTGAGTTGGTCTTCATAACAGGTACTGGGGAAGGAGGAACAGTACATGTAACGTTACTTTATCAAGTGAAAAATATTCATAAACTAGAAACATGGCCATTATCTAAAAGTATGATTCAGCTATTAGCCTAATGTAATAAATACTTCTTCAAGCTTCTGGTACTTACTGATTTGGATCAAGGGGGCAGTTCACACGTTTTCGTCCTGCACCAATCTTGAAGTTGAAGAAAAAAAGAAACATTAGAGCTTGTCTTAGCAAAGAGAGCATCGTCTGCTTTGACTTGAGAAAACCATATTACTACTACTAATCTTGGCTTGGTAGTATTGGCATGGCACACACAGGTTGGATAATACCACACACCCGCAAAGTCCAATGACATAATACTAAGGACCTGTTCCACAGAAGATGGGCTCCGGTGTGTTTCCTGAAACATTACATGGCCTATAGTATAAAACTGCTACGGTGTAAAAAAAAAAAGATAAACAACGTGCATCATCCCACACGCATATAATTTTAGCAGACGACATTCAAAACTGTATTGTATATACAGCAAAGGGATCGTGAGTTACATCTGAGAACGTAAAGACACGGCTAACCACAATACTCATTTTTCTTTATGATCACTGACCTACTTCACCGAGTAATATTAATATCTAGCGGCAACCTTTACTTTCTCAGTGAGTAAACAAAACGACTCGACTTCTTTTGACATGCCCCCCTCCCCATGCATGCCGCGGAATTTACAACATTTCAAAACAAAGTAGTGGCCGGGAAAAATAATATAACGGCAATTTTACCTCGTTTTCTGGAGCAGAGTTGGCGTGCTCACCACAGTACTTCTTCCCCGGGCCGGGAACAAGCTTGCAAAAGCGCTGTTTTCTTTTTAAAAAGAAAGCACACCTTTCCTGATGCTGTAAGTCAGCCATCTTGGAATTGGACCAGCTCACGTTTTCCGAGGGATGTTCTTAATGATATTCTTTAGTTACAATATATGGATTAATGTTTTTCTAATAGAACCATACTTTTGCTAATAGCCATTTATAATTGAAAAGGTAACGTTTGATATCATATTTATGAACAATATAAACATATTGTAAGACATAACATCCTCCCTCGACGCGAAATAGAATATTCTGTTACCCACAATTCATATATTTATCTGACCCTGTTAGTGTTACACCTGCCTAACAACAATAGGTGAGTCTCTCAGTTAGGGACCTGCGATAGTATAGCCGACCGTGTCTAAACCGGGCCGGCTTTGTAAGATTTACACAAAGAAGGATCTCTAGGTGGGAAGTTCTGGGAACACAATATGAAGATTTTAAGGAGATGACACAACGCTGCGGACAAGAATTAAGGTAACACCTATAGGTTTTTGTGTCACCCCGTCTTAAGGAATATGTTAGCGGAAGGGCGTTTACAAAATGCCTTTGTCACTATGTACTCACGTCAATAGCTTTTAAGGCAAATACAGTAATGTGGGTGGTACCGGGTTCGAGACCAGACCGTTCCCGACAGTGCGTGTTCCCCGTCCTTGTTCGGTGCTCCCGGTTTCTTGTCGAAGAAGTGGCCCTTCTGTTCGCTCACTGAGACCTAAAAACTACTACAACATAAAGGTATTCTTTCAGTATAATTTTCACGGATAACATCCTATAAACATGTGTGATATAATCTATCTCGGCTTACAAATAATTATAGAAGGTGTGTCAAGTTCTCAATTTGGAATTATTCGGTGTTTTGGACTTAGATTCACGGTGGTATAGTTGTCTGGAATCTAGTCAAGTAGATCAGAGTTTGTATAGGGAAACACTTGTGCCACAGGAAGTATTGGTGTTGCCCTTGGAAAGTGACCTGCAAAAAAAGACGAAAATACAACTGTAGTATACGGAACATTTACGGTAGCTCTGATGTAATTGTTGCATCAGGCGAAGTCCAAAAAAGGAAAGAATCCCTACCTGCCTACCCCATTTTTTTCAGAGCTAAAAACCGGAAACACAGTATTTTTCCCTAGGCCTTATCGTGGTAATGGTTTTAATGTCGGTACGTCAACTCGTGTCAGAGAGATAAAACCGTCTAATTGGAAAATAATTCTGCTCTGCATGCTCAATATATATACTCGTGACTTCACAGGACACATGTAGGGAATGACATAAGGTGTTTAGATGTTGCATTAGGTAAGCCGTTTCGGACGTTCGAACGGCGACGTTAGCGTCCGTTCGACGTCCGAACGGCTACGTTAGGATCCGTACGTATACGTTAAGATCGACGACGTTCGATCACGTTCTTAGAATAAACGAGAGGTTTTTGAGTTGAAGTCTTTGTGTACGGACGTCTTTTTTGTGTGCTCTGTGTCCTCTTCTTT